TGAAAAGGGGTGTTCGTTTTGATTACAAAAAGAAATATCGACGGTTTGTGTGCTGGAATATAGGAACTACAACGATATCACTACTTTTGGCAGTTTTAACATACAGTGTCTATAAACATGTCCAAAATGGGCTTAAAACCATCCAAATTATATTTGTTTTCGTGTCTTATTTATTTCAACACTTTGTCGCAGCAACAGTTGCAACTACATACGTAATTATGATTTGCTGCCTCCACCAACGATTCGATTCGTTAAACTCTTTGTTAAGGTTGTTTTTTTCTCAATTGCATTATTTTAATATTTAATTTCGTTTTCATCAACTATTTTTTTAATTGAAATAGTGATGAGTTTTTGAGCAAACATGCGATGCCGATACATTTTCGCAAGCAAGAATCCATTGCGTTCATCAAATTTATTGGAAAAATGCATACGCTTCTCACGGGAATAATGGAAGAGCTGAACAAGTGTTACTCGTTGCAGGTATACCGAATGAACTGCTTCCCCTTGTGGAAAATTTTTGACTGACTAAAAGTGATTGTCTCGAACAAAATAAGCAACTGAAGTTGACTTTGATCACAAATCACTCTTAGTCAAAATGTCCCAAATTAGTCGAATGACTGAAAGAATAACTAAACGTGATTGTCTCCATAAAAAACGCATGATTTCAATCAACTTAGCCAGTTTTAGTTGTGTATCACTACATATAGTTACACACAACTGAGTGACTGTTAGTCGTTTTATTTGCACACGGGTCTTATTTTCATTGTAAATGGAAATCGAAATATTTTTTCCAGGCCATGTTCAATATTGGAGCGACGTTTATATTTTCGGTTTTGTCGTTCTACACGTTTTACCGCTATATTGTCGACCCGAACGAGTTCTTCAAACAAGTGGCATTTACCCACTTCTATTGGCAATCGTTTTACCTAATCTATGCTTTCATGATCATTAACGCTGGCAGTTTGATAAAATCCAAGGTAAGTATCGATACGAATTTCGAAATGATTCAAAGATAAAATGTAGAGCGACTTCTCTATTCGACAGGGTAAAAAGACATCGGAAATAATTCACAATATCATTAATAGATGTAATGACTCAGATATCGTTTTGTCGGTACGAATTAATTGTTATACGAAAACAAATACACTTGAGTATTCTCTCATATCATTTTGGTTTTATGAATAGCTGGGTCAAGTTTCGCAGCAGATTCAAAGCAGATGCCCCGTTGCAACCTGTGGACTATTCAATTTCGATTGGACATTGTTGTACACAATGATAGGTATTGTATTGTGTTAGCCATTTTAGTTGTGTGACGTTTTTTCATATATTGAATTTTCCTATATTTCTTGCACAGGTTCAGTGGCTACGTATCTCACTATTATAGTTCAGTTTGATGCACCAAACAGAAATCGCATGAAGAATGAAACTCGAGAAGAATGAGATACGTAAAACGTAGTCGTGGTGGACATTTGCCGAAAATCATTTTTAAACATTAAATTATATACCATACGCTACCAAAATAAACCAACAACAATTGTTGTCAAAGAATTTTTGTGTGTTTTATTTCAACTTCAAAAAAAAAAATTAAAAAAAAACACCCTTTAATATTGGGTTATTCCAAAAGCATACCAAAACGTAACAAATTCGTACCAAATATATATAAATTCATACCAAAATTTTAACAATTTCTTACTAAATAATTACTAATTTCATACTAAAAAATCCAAATTCCATACCAAAAACCAACCAAATTCGTACTAAACCAAATGCCAAATCCTTACCAAAAATATACAAAACCTTACCAAAAAAATTAAATTGAAATTGAATAAACATTGCAATGGAATACGCATACAAATTGAATGAAACATTTTATGCGGACAAAATGTGTGTGCAACCCATAGCTTCTGACGACCGCGCGCCGAGGGGGGGGGTAAATTTTCAAATTTCAATCAAAATGTAGGGGGTAATTTCAAATGTTTTCCATAAAATTGAGGGGGTAAAATCTAATTTTTGTAAGGAAAATTGCGGAAAAAATTCATTTCAAAATCAATTTTCTTAAGTATAAAAGATAAAAGAACATATGTATTGAGTTTATTTTGTATATTATTTGTATGCACTTCAAAATTATTTATGTGAAATATTATATCATTATATGTGATTTCAAAATACTCAAGTTTAGTTACTCGAAATCACGCGAAAAAACGATCAAAATAGAAATTGGTGTTATTCGAAAAAGGTGAAGTGTATGTAGTTTATGAGTAATCAATTGTAATTATCAGTAAAAAAAAAGTGCACAAGCACATTTTAAATTATATCGATTTTATCCACAGCAATCTGACGCAAAAAAAGATGATCAATAAGAAGGTTATCGGTTGAGATGCTCAAAATGATTGGGATTTTGAAGGTCGAGGCTCTACCAAACTAAAACTTAATTACAATTTCAATGACTGCGTTTTTAAAATACAAATGGTTTTTGAATAAAGATTCAATGTAAAACAGTGATACATCTTTAATTTAATAAGAGACAAATTTTTAGTGGAGTAAACAGAATTTTTCTAAAATCAGAGGGGGGTAATTTATTTAGCATCGAAGCTATGGTGCAACCCAATAAATTGCTGTTTATTCGCTGTATATCTATTTGTTCAGTAAATTGAAGTTATTTAATTGAATTCCTAAGAAGATCGAATTTGTTTGCGAAAGAGAATAAATAAACAAAAAGTAACATTTATAACAACGATTGTGGAAAAAAAGGGAGAGACAAATTGAAACTCCATATACATGCTCGGAGTATGTAAAACATAGACACGTACCGGTATACGGTGAATCCGAGATAAATTTGCTTTCAACGCTGTTCTTCGTCTGCTTCTTGCGTCGTAACGTTCGGCATTACTCGTCGCTCCTTCGGTGACGGTGGTGTGTCATCTTCTTCAGATGCTTGCGTTGCTGGTTTTCTTTTCTTTGGCAAAAACGCAGGATCAAGCGGTATACCTAAGAGACAAATCAGAGGGAAAAAAGTGTATATTTTTCACAAATGTCTCATAAATTTTGAAAAGTACATATATTTCGTATGTGTGTTACTACCTTTAAGTATGCTGATTCCGTTTGATAACATACAACGGGCTGCATCGGTATCGCGATGGACAGAGCAAGCTCGCACGAGTTTTCACGTGTTTTCCACATCTGTGGCTCTGGAAGTACGGTATTCATATGGGACAAGCAAAAGCTACAAATTGCGAATAGATGATGGTGATTTTGATATTTCCATTGGTCCATAGCATTTGGAATGCTTTTGCGTTGTATTCACTTCCCCAGTAAACATGACGTCGATGTGCGGCGATAAAATACACGTTTTTTCGATCAGTTTGAGCGGACAGCGTCTGTATCCGCGAATTGGCGAATCTTTTGCTATTGGTGGTCGAGATGAGATTAAGAGTGTCGGTTCATAACCAAATGTCAGACGTTTTACGATTTTTGTCATTGCAATTTGCCGTTTTTGATATTGCCCTAACTTCAAGGAAGCCACTTCCGTGCTTTCGAGTGAGAATTGAAGCGTTTAAACACTTTGAGCTTTACGTTGACGTATGATCCGAATTTGTGGCTCTTGTTTGATGGCATTTCGTGATCGTTGCAGTTACGTTGAGCGATTAACATTTCACTTTTCTCAAATTTTAAGCGATCTCCATTTAATTTCGCTAACTTTTCCTCAAACGTATCCTCACGAATCAATCGGTAGTACTGTTTCGATGTTATCAACGAATTGATTTCTGCCATGTTGTTTTTAGGCACTACATGAAATTTAGAGTCTATTGATTTAGTCATGTTTTTTCAGATAAAAAATTATCCATCTCGGTCCATCATGGTCATGTTAACACGACTCAACACTATTTTCTCATATGAATAGTCAATATGGCATACATTGTAATATTCGGTGAGTGCCACTAAAAAAATATCCACACTCATCTAGTGCGTGAGACGTATCGTCACTCATTTAGTGAGTGAGACGCGCGCGGATGAGATGAAGCAAAGCGAAAGAGAAGCGGGCAACTCCATACGAACGAACGATATAGCGCGCATACATTTCATCAGTCCGTCGTTAGAATACGGAAACAAACACAAACACGTAGTACCCATTGACTCTATGTTCTAGTTGCGTGTTTCCCTTTCACTTTGCTTCATCCCATCCGTATGCGTCTCACTCACTAAATGAGTGACATACAAAAAGGCATCAATTGCAACTCTACATTTCATGTATTGCCTTTACATCTTAGTTTGTTGTTAACCAACAAACTAAAAATAATATATATAGAAAAAAAATAAGAGCGGAGCGGAGCGACGCGACCTTGTTTCAACATATTCAATATTCACCTTATTTTGTGATGTAAAGTAAATATGATTCCGTACTCTAAAGCCTTTGTGAGGTACTTTACGCCACAAAAATGTAGCTGTCATGGAATATCACCTCAAAAATGGTTTGTTGTCAGCGATATGTGGTGCTTTCAAACATTTATTTCGTAACGGCATGTAAACGACGATCCATCTGTGGTTATTTTTTAACTTTGAAACGACTTTGGAACGGAGTGTGTTTTGTACATACCGAGAAGATGTAAAAAATTTCATATTCAAATAGCCTCGTCAAAAAAACACCACTCATCATTTCAAGAGTGAAAAATATCTACTTAAATTTTCAATTCAATTGCGTTGTTTTTCAGACCATAATGAAGGTGATGAAAGAATAAATGTAAACATCTGATATTTTCAATGCGATCCATTTGATGTGAAACGCGAAATTAAACACACGTGCACAGATGGAATTGTAATTCCATCAGTTGTTTTGACATTGTTATTTTGAAAAATGTGTTCGATAATATTTTGTGGAGTTTAATTAGAATCGTCATTGTACGTGGATTGAATTATACAGTGCGTTGCCCACCGACGTGGCCACACTTGAAAAGTATATAAGAGGATGCATTCGATTCGTATGTCCATCAAACAGTTCTTATCAATTGATAAGTTCACAGTAAACTTTTAATAGTTCAAAGCTAGAAAAATGCTGAGTCGAAGTTCTTTAACACTGCTGCTCATCAGCTTGGTGGTATCCGAGGTGAGTCGACAATTTCAGTCGATTTTTTTTTTAATTTCTCATGTTTGATTCCTTTTGTGGACAATTTGTGATAATTTTTTCTGAAATAATTTCAAAAATGAAAAGTGTCCTTTTTAAGTTTTTCAATTGAAAACAAACTTCTATTCCAAAAAAAATTTCACCGGAAACATTTATTCTATTAAAAACAGTTGAAAACTGTTATTAATACATTTATAATTAATCCCATTCGCTGTTCCCATTCCAATTGTATCACTTTGATTCTGTTTCCACAGTTCCTAATCGGGGATGTGAGCGGAGCACCACCCGGGAGGAACGGTAAGATTCAAGTTTCATTTATTTATCCAGTTAAACTCTTAAATTCCATATACAAAGCACCTTGTAACGAAGATATGGGAACCTCATTTATGCTAAACTTTTCATACATATTTTAGTAAACGAAAAAGACATGTATGGACACACAGCTCTGCATAGAGCTGCTTTGACTGGTAATTTTGGACATGTTTTTTAAAAGAACGTTTTGTTCAATCCGTTTCATTGATCTATGAATATTTTTCATATTCTTTCAGGCAAAGTGTTGGAAGCTCAAAGACTCATCGCTGAAGGAGTCGACCCTAATATTAAAAATAATTTTAATGTGACAGCTCTGGATTATACTGCTATGAAAGGTAACGTTGAATACTTATTGTTATTGAATAAAAGATTGACCTGATTTTTTCCCATCGATCGGTTTTATTGTTCAGGTCACAAGAGTATCGCCGAACTTCTCATCCACAATGGAGCCAATGTTCATACTGAAACTAATACGAAATGGACACCTCTTCATTCAGCTGCATCCTTTGGTAATGTTGATTATTTGTTCACACTAAAAAGGAAAACCGTTTTATTTTTTCATCGATCTGTGTTATTTTTCAGGTCACAAGAATGTTGCTGAATTTCTCATCCGTAATGGAGCAAATGTTAATAGTGAAAATAATGTGAAAAACACACCTCTTCATTTAGCTGCTGAGAATGGTAATAGTTGAATACTTGTCTTTATTAAAAGAAGATTGATTTGATCTTTTTCATCCATCTAAATTTCGTTCTAGGTCATGAGAGTGTCGCTAAACTTCTCCTCGATAAAGGAGCGAAATTTCTTGATAAAAATAATTTGGATCAGACTCCTTATCAGTTAGCTATTAACAATGGTAAAGCTGGCTAAATAAGATATCGATTTGATCTTTTTCATTGATCTGTATTAATTTTAGGTCACAAAAGGATCGCCGAACTTCTCGTCCAAAGATCGAATGAATGGCTACTAGAATAGATTCAATTGGCTACTAACAATGGTATTGTTGCATATTTTTTTCACAATACATATAAGAAATCGATTTGATCTATTTGATCGATGTGTATTTTTCAGGTGACCAATAGCTGAACTTATTTAGCTGAATAATCGGATGATTTCCTTCGGTTCCCCTTTTCGATTGTAGTGTAGAATTAATTTCAAAACATTTTTTTTGTCAATCTATGGCCAATTGGCCATACCAACCAATATTGTTGCTTTGTTGGACCATCGATTATTATTCTGTCAAAAACAGCTCAAGTTATTTGTCTTTTTAATTGCTTACATTGCATTTTTGTGACCCTAACGTACCGTGCTAAATTTGAACGCGATTTGTATGAGTCTAATGCCGTAGGCAAAATCCAAGAATGGAAATAAATTATACAGAAAAGATAATAAAAAATAATCTAAATTTCAATCTGGTTTGAACAGTGTTGGTTGCTCTTGTTTGTGTCTGCTGTGACTGTCGCCATCAAAAAATTTAAAAATAAATAAATTGAAAAAATTCATAATTCGCATCAGGACAAACCGTACATGAGTAAAATTTGTTTTGAATGAAAGAGACTTAAAATGGGGAGAAGAAACAAGTAGATTGGCTTTAGATAGACTAGCTTGGAGTAGAATTGTTTAAGCTTGAAACACTGATTTAAAAACGACCAGACATAGAAAAGTATTAATGGTTGCTATTACATCACGACAATGTACTCATTTTGAAATGAAGAAAATGTATTGCTTTCTTCAATGCAAGAAAAAATTATGCGGTGGAAAAGAAAATAGTTCTGAATTCAAGTAAATAAAATAGATATATGATAATTAAGAGAAAAATTAGGACGTTAAATAAATGGGTGATGATGATGAGTGACTGGAAAATAAAAAGTATCGAATAAGACAATGGAAGATAAATAGAAAGAACAACAAATCAAGATATTGGAAAGTGCGCCAGTTTTGATTTTCGAATTGAATTTTTTGGAGTTTGACGAAAATCTTTTTTTCATTGATTTTAATTTTATCTACATTAATGTACAGTGATGAAAGACTTTAATAAGAGACAGTACAATAAGATGATTGAATAAAAGAGTTTCTAAAACGATGGATGGATATTTGTCTGAGAGATGTTAAGTTGTGTTGTGTTCCTAAGCATTCTTTTGTTCATTAAAGATAGACGTTATTATGATTTTTTATCTGTTCATTTGATACGAAATGTATACAATGAAATTCATTAAAGCTCCGAATGGCATGGGATTTGGGGCGAATTGAATCACTTGAAACTTATCGTTTTAAAATACAAACTGGAGACACAGAGTGACAGAAACACACAAAGTTAAATTCGCCAAAATCATTTTAAATTATCCGATGAATAGAGAAGAAGACAAAATGAACGTGATTGCCTACCGAGGGGCGAATCATTCTAAAGTAATTTGTAATAGAGAAAGTAATCGAGAAAGTAATTTAGAGTGATTTGCCCCTCGTTGCCTACGCATTACTTATCTAAGAGATAAAAGTTTCAAAATTGGAAATTGAATTTTCTAAAAAAATTCTAGCCGAAACGGCGAGCGAAGCGAGCTGAGTATTAGGAAAAGACGTCTGCTCAATAGTACTGTGTGAACAAAACTAATTTATTTCATCTCAATCAAATACAATAAACTCAACGCTATGTTGATAATCAATTCAGATGACTACTTTGATATTCAACACGAACGAACCGCACGGTTCAATTGTTTTTTTCCTTCTATGGATTCCATGGAATGTTACTCCTTTTACGGAGCTGTAGACTATGCACACTGCACAGTTCTCAAATGAATAGCGTTTGTACTTAGCGCCATTTATTGGCATTCCAAAAATTGATTTGACGTTGAACTTCAAATGAAAAACATAATTCGTTTTGCATAGGGAATCGATTCATTTCACCGCTGAATAGCCGATCAACAATCGAAAATGTTTGAAGTAGCTCTTCTTGTGCCTTGCTTCTGTATAACGATTCCATGGAAAAAACCAAAAATGCTACAATTATAATGATACTCATGGAATATGATATGTATGGTGTCCGATAAATTTGATCCGATTTAAACCCATAATAAATCCCATAAAGCACTAAAGTTGTAAGGAAAATTGAATAAACTCGAAAGAGACGGGTATATTTGCCACTTGACCAAGACGACCATACACCAAGAAGAATGAAACACAAAATATAATTTCGTTTTCGCTTGAAGAACTCCATTTCGATTGACAGTGTGTTCAACATGAAATCGACCTGCAAACTCAATTCATTATGAAGTGAAATTCCATTAAATACAAACATCGATTCAATAAAATCTTGATATGCAAATAAATTTTTTAATCTAATTCAATATAGAGTAATTGTAAACTCATCCATTTCTCTAATCACTGATTAGTAATCAGCAATAAAAATCATGTGAAGTCAATTAAATTTACATTTTTGGAATTAATACGCTAGTGATAATGAAAAACCTCTTGATCATAACTGGGGATAAATTATTCTGTCTTCTTATATCTCGAACTGAATTCCTTTATTCGACATCTTGAACTGAATTAAAATAATCAGATAAGTTAGACACGTAACCAACACTGGATACAAATGCCGAGAAAAATAAATAAAATACCAAACTTATCAGAAAAATCGAATAAATTTGAAAACAAACATGTATTTGCCATTTTTCCACCATGACCACAGGCCAAAAAATATAAAAATTTCATTTTTGATCACGTGAGAACAAAACTCCGTGCATATTGAGCTAATTGCAAACCGAATGTGCAGTAACATTTGTTGGAACAAACAATAACTTGATGCAATACTTCAAATCTATTTAATGAATCCAAATTGGTTTTTCTAGTGCATTCAATTGGTCTTTCTTTAATTTATATTTGCGACTAATATTTCCGTTGGATTGGATCCAAACTGAATTATAATGATTAGATAAGTCACGCAGGCGATAAGAAGCTTTAAAATAGAATGAAAAAATATAAATCGTCGATAATGTAGTTTAGTTTTCCCAACTTTTGCATCACTCACTGATCCCAATAAAGATAGATTAATATGAAAGAAACCATTTGCCGATATGAAGAAATATTCGTGATGTGCTTGCATCGCAAACGCCCGGATAAGATCATTTTGTGGCATATTTTCCTTATCAAATGGAATGCGATGAAGATTTGACTCGATAAGATGAGTCTAGAACAAAGAAAAATGTTTCAATACTGAACAATCGGAATCTATTCGGTTTTCATTGGTCAAAATGGTTCATTAAAAGTTATTACCCGATGCGAACATGAGTTGCAATAAAAAGCCAATGTGATCAATGTAATTGCATTTGGTAACAGTTTCACATTGTTCACAAACAGTATGGACGTTGCATATTTGTCTTGGTTTTCGATTGTCAATTTGGTTGTGCTCTGAATATTGATTAGCTCTTTATTGATAAAAAATAGGCGATTTCGCACCAAACAGACAAAGAACAACACTTGAATCAATCTGAAGCGTATAATCCAACTGGAATACATTGTGCAGTAGAAAAATTGCAGCACAGGATTCACAAATCGCGTGTACACCCACAAAGCGATTTTTAAAGCAAGTATCATGGCAATAAGTAACAAATTTCGAAATAACAATTCACGCTTGTCTTTACGATATAGAACATTCACATTTAGCTTTCTGAACAATAACTGATCAACTAGAGAAAACTTTTGGATTAGTTGTGTTTGTGCCTCATTTTTGAAGAACGACTCAAATCCAATGACTAGTTGTACGAACATTATTAGGTAAAACGATGAACTGGCTAAAAATGATGTAAATGTGATAAAACCATTGAGATTGACGGTGAGTATTGTTAGCAAATATGACGAAAATTCCACGAAAATGTATAAAAGTGAATATGCTTGAAGTAAACGCTTGTGCTGACAATTCTGCCATGAGGACCATACACCGAATAACAGAAAGCATATGATATAATTACGAAATTTCTTGAAAAACACCATTTTTTTACTTAGAATCAGAGAATAGCTACCACATTCAGGCAAGTGTTGCCTTAAAATGTTCTCAATGCAATTTCATGTCAAACTCTGCGACCTATTCATTCGTGGCCACGTCATCTTTTAATTAGTTTATGCCACATAACCACTAATATTGCACGAAATTTAGATAAAAAGGTAAGATTATTATAAGGATAATGAATAAAATGAGAATCTGATACGAAAAGATGCATCATCACCAGATTCAAATCTACACTCTGGTGAAATAAATTCTTATGTAAATGCAAATTGTTGTTTCGAGCATTTTCTTGATAGAAATTAGTTTATCCAAATATTAATCAATGTTCAAATTATTTTTTAATTTATATTATCAACTATGATGCTTTGCGGATCTCGTTCAAACTGAATTAAGATGAATAAATATGTTATAATTGAAATCAACATCTGGAATATAATGGTAGCTTATTAATAAACCATGTGAGACTATTCAAATTTTGTAAAAAAAAAATCCAACGACTCATCGAACCTAGCATGATGACGTTGAGTTGAAAGAAACCGTTAGCCGATACGATAAAATTCCCATGATGTGCGGATGAGATCACTTTGTGGCATATTGTTCCGATCAATCGGAATGCGATAGATATTTGACTTTACAAGCCGAGCCTGAAATTGAACCACAAATGAAGAAGAAAAAGAATGATGTGTTTTATTCAA